GTCGGAGGCCAGTTCCCCGCAGCTCTGAGAACGGCAGCATCTCATCTGGAAGGCAGGGACCGCGGCGTGAGCACAGCCCGAGAACCTCCCTAGCAGGATGCCAGGCCAGGCCGCGCCAGCCACACAACTCCAGAGCGCAGCCAGTCCACCCCGGGGGCAGGGCACCCATGGGCCCCAGAGCAGCAGGCCCCAAAGGGGGCTCTGGGGGGCGGTACCGGGGGTCTACGGAGCTGGCACTTCCTTGTGTCCAGCTGCCGAGTTGCAGGAAGAGAAGCTGAAGCTCCAGCAGCCCCCGGCGCTGCGGGATCAGGCCCACACAGGAGGCAGGGCCTGGGTGCTAGTCGCTCGGACAGGGCCACACGCTGCCGAGGGCTGGGAGCCAGCGGGCGCTGCCCAGCCTCTCTCAGTTCACGTGCCCCCCTCGTAACTGCAGCCCACCGCTTCCAGCCACCCTGCCGGTGCCCGCAGCGAGCCCTTGGCCAGTGGGTAAGGCACGGCCCTGGGACTCCTACCACAGGCCTGGGCCCAGCACCGGCTAACTCCACCAGTCACTGGGGTCCCCCACCCACCGCCACGGGGGGGCTGGCGCTGCCCACTCATGGCTCTTCACTCTTCCTCACGGATCAGCCCCTCCCACGCACGGATCCTTCTGCCCCGTGAGTGCAGCCCAGGAGCTCGCATGGCTGCCTCCCCCAGCTGCATCGGAGCCAAGCCTCCCCGCAGCGACCAAGCCCAGACCACCACCTCTTCCTGGCCTCTTGCCTTCGGCTATCCGGCCTCCCTCGCTCCTCCCCTGCGTCGCTCTGGCACAAGGGCCAGAGTCTGCTTGGACCGGGCCTGCTGAAAATGCCCCCAGTGTGGGGCAGTCCTTGGCCGGCATCACCGGCTCCCACACCACCACCCCCGTGCGGCGACCACTGGAGGAAGCTGCTGCTCCAGCCGTGGGGCAGGGAGCCGACGCTGTGGAAGGCACGGTACTAACCGGAGGGGCTCACCCCTGCCCCTGCTGTCACCCGGAAGTTCAAACTAAGCCCCTCCCAAGGCAAAAGCCCAGGCCACAACACTTGAGTCAACGGCGAATCTCCATGAGCTTTCAGCAGTACAGGGCCCATGACACACACCACAGTGTCTGGAGTCTCTCACCAATCCCCATTTCATAGTCCCTCCCCCACTTCTCTGGCCCCAGAGAATCAAAACGTGCCCTGGGCTGGGCCCATGCTCCCCTCCCTCCTCTAGAGCCCCCAGGAGAGCCGGGGGCTAAAACTCACCGAAGAGGTCAGCGAAGGGATCCCGCCCGCCGAAGAACTCCCGGAAGACGTCGTGGGCGCTGCGGAAGGTGAAGGTGAATTCGGGGACTCCCGCGTCGGCTCTTGGTCCCCCAGGCCCTGCTGGGGAAAAGCAGAGACAGGACGCTACCGCTAAGAGCCCAGTCTGAACGGAGTGAGGGAAACAGGCTGGGGTCCCTGTCCCCCGGAGAGACGAGCAGGTTAAAGGTGCTGTTAGCACGGGGCTGGGGCCAGTGAAAACTACAGGTCCCAGCATGCAACAGGACACGATGCGCTCCCAGGGCCGCTCGACTCGGTCCCCCGGCGAATATTTGTAGTAGGTGCAATTTGCCCCTGGGCCAAGAGCCGGCACCCAGCTCAGGGCAAGTTCCACCCCTGTATGGAGCACGGACGCCGCGCCGCAGCAGGGCACCGGAAGTCACGCCCACCTAGACAGGAGGAGGCCCTGCTCGGTGTGGGGCAGTGAGGCCTGGGGGGGCCGTACTCCGCTCGGGGAGGAGGAGGCCCTGCTCGGTGTGGGGCAGTGAGCCCTGGGAGGGGGCCGTACTCCGGTCGGGGGGAGGGGCGTACCCGGGTGTCACGGCCACGTAGACAGGGGGAGGCACTGCTCGGTGGGCAG